GCACAGGAAAAAATTCCTGCTCTGCAGCCAATAGCTCAGGTTACAGACATAGGCTTATGCTTTCCAAATGACGTCAAACATTTTTATATAATAGCTCAAGTTACCTATAGGTTTTAACATCATGTAAATACGCGATATCATCATTCACCTGATGAGTGTGGCAAGCTTAGTTTGCCATACGAAACAAATTTGTCGTGAATAAATGTTTTAAATGAAGTAACTCAAGTTTGTCTTTTATATATATATATATATATATTAATTGTGTAATTGTACACTCTGTAATATGTTAAGATGAAAATGGTCTAGAGTGTGTATTATATAATAGTAATATAGTAATTCGAAGGTCGCGGGTTCAAGACCCAGCCGCGGCAGACAACATCTTCCTGCTTGCGCTGGGTATGGAAATTATATAATACACACTCTAGACCATTTTCATCTTAATATATATATATATATATATATATATATATATATATATATATATATATATATATATATATATATATATATATATATATATATATATTATATATATATAAGATTTGGTTTCGTTGGTTATAAAAACTTTTGGTAAAGTGCTCAATGGAAAACCAGAGCATATTTAAATTAAGGTACAACAATCAACAAAATCCACTAGGCATCTTTATTACTAAATAGTTTCGTACCACAAAATGTGGCACTCTTTTGAAGAGTGCCACATTTTGTGGTACGAAACTATTTAGTAATAAAGATGCCTAGTGGATTTTGTTGATTGTTGTACCTTAATTTATATATATATATATATATATATATATATATATATATATATATATATATATATATATATATATATATATATATATATATATATATATATATATATATATATATATATATATATAAGAATCTCCCACCCCACCCTAGGTTATAAATAATGAACGTCTTGAACGGTCCCTATAGTAAAAAAATGGAATAGTATAAAAATTTCACTATATATAGTCGTTGCCGCATACAACCTTTATGGTTTTTCCAGTGAAATCGATCAACCAAGAAAATCGTATCTTTAAAAAACACAGGGTTCCTGTTTAGGCAGTAGCTGTGCAGATTGCATGCATTGTCGTAGATTATGATTCGCGGAGCTGAAAAGGCAAAAAATGTATATATGTTAACGGATGTTTAAATGGGCACTATGATCAAAATTTTTATTTTCTTCAACGAAACTGCTTTTAAAATTGTATAATACAGTAACTTGTTTTGAAGATTTTTGTTCCCATGCTTAGTTCTTGAGATATTTCATTTTCTTTGTAACCATGTGACGTCATTTACTCACTTATATATATAATGAGATATCAGTAATTGTGTGTATCTTTGCTATTTTTGATGGATTATTTTTAAAAAACAGTATGCTTAATGATGCAGGTTAAATTAACAAACGCGCCGCATCTTTCGAAATATTTTGATAAAAAATAGCAAAGATACACACAATTACTGACATCTTATTATATATGTAATTGAGTAAATGACGCCACATGGTTACAAACAAAATGAAATATAATATAAATATATTAATAAAAGAACACCGAACGATTTTCTGTGCAGGATTGCGTAATCCACGCACGAGGGATGTCGCGACACTTCCCAGCAACATACCAATCGCGGCATGGATCACGCTATCCGGCTTGGAAAACCATTTGGTAATTATTTTAAAAAATAACTACAGTGAAACAATGACATTTTTAGAATCCCGCGAAAATTCTGCGAAGGCATTTTAATTCCTCGTGCAGGATAGCCTGATCCTGCACGGCTATAGACCTATCAAATTGCGCGTTTTTCTGTAGTTATTGTACAACAGTAAGCAATAATAAAAATATTAATGAGTTGTTTTAATAACGGCCCTGAAACTTATATATAACTGTTCATTTAGTAATTTGTGGAATGGTCATGCCGGACCCACACCGCGTGGTAATGACAGGTAAAATTAGTAAAAAAAGATTTACTAAAACAGTCATACAAATACCTTTTCCAAATCTTGTTAAGAATATGGTGAAGGGCACATTTGGTGATTCGTGCTTTTGCATCACTTCAAACCCGTAGTTAAATCCTAAAAATATATTCATATACAGCTATTAATTAAAAAAATATTGTCCTTTGCAAACCTTAAACGCCAAACCTTAAACTCTGAGCGTTAAAAGCATAATAGGAGCACCATTTAATCAGTTTAGAAATCATATATGCAGCCAAAATATGGAGCCCATTTCTTATAGATGAGACATGGTAAATATCTCCTTAGGAAAACAATCCATTTACAAATAGCTGCAATATTCAACTACTAAGCTTGAAACTTGTGCTCCCATGTATTAAGCTTTGCGCACTGCATGAGAGTTTAAGGTTTAAAGTTTAAGGTTTGCAAAGGACACCCGCTTTTTAGTTTGCTGTATAACAACCAATTTAAACATTACAGAACATTAGCTACATGGTATTTCATAAACTCGTGTCTTGTGTTTCACAAGGGATTAAAACTACACAAATAACATTAGGCAAAATAAAACGACCGCACATGTTCATGAACTAATAACCTAACATTATGGGGATTTTATGTACTATTTAAAACACGCGCAGGAGTGTTTTATCATATTCAAATTGCGATGCGCACTCGCATTTAGATATGATAAAACACGACTGCAAAGTATACTAATGAAAATTAGTTTTATCAGGTTGACATGATTTGCCAAAAGCGTATGAATTATTAACGAGTGTTTGAAATACAATTAATGGGAATCGTATAGTTGTACTTCATAATTAAGATAAAAGTAGTACCAAACAACAAATTACCGTGTGGACAAAACAGCGTGAATATACCGGGAAGGAAAAAGGAATGACCAGGATGTTTTTTGGTGCAGATCTCTTCTTTTCGACGTGTTGCATCGGCCAAGTAAAAATTTCGGGGTCGACGTTTTGGCAAAGTCGGAAAAAATGACAATACATCGGCATGTACATCGCTAAACGACGCCGGAGGGGCTGAAGTACCATCTATAAATGGAGCCAGCGATTTTGTCAATAATTCTTGAAACATTGGACGCCACGTCCGTGGTAAAATTGAAGAACCGAGGTCACGAAGAGCAGCAAAGAGAACTGGGCACTCCTCATGTAGAAGCTTCACCTTCACTGGGCAACTAAAAACATTTACACCGCTGATAAGCTCTCCAATTAGACCATGGACGTTTTCGTTCGGTCTTATGAACCCACACACCGGGGAACTTGCAGCGATTGCACGGACTAAAGATTTGACTGAAGGTGGAGAATCGACGAAAGTTTCATACGTGGCATCGATCCAATTGACAAAAGGAACGACAGAAGGACAATGGGCTGTTAGCTGTTCGATTAATTCTCTGAACTGATGATCGGTTATATTGCCATGCATTGTTAGCGATTTTCATCATCAGTTTGCGACAAGGATTAGAACGGATCATCACTCTCTCTTTGTGACTATTATAAACATAAAATCAATAGTAATAATTCTATCACTTAGGCCTATTTTATTCGTCGAATTTTGGTCGCGTCGAATGCAATTCAAACAATAAATAACGAAGCTTAATGAGGTTCATCATTTCATTTATTGTCTTTATTGCATTCGACGCAACAAGAAATTCGACCTTAAGCATGTGTAGAAAGACACGTTTAAACGGTATGTTTAAACGTTATATTCTCCTCATCATACAATACTCAGGGGTTACAAGTGTGACATAGATACAAGTTTTATTAAACATTATACTCTCCATTCAATGCCAGTTTAACTTTCAACCACTAACGCTAATAACGCCAACGGATCTGTACAAACGAAATGGTATACAACTAAAAATACTTATCTTCCAGTCGTCACATTTGCACTTTCAACAGGAGTCTGAGGGTCACACCTTAAAACCATGGTTTTTCTAAAGGCAACGGTCGTAGCATCGCAAACAACAATCTCCGGCTCTGGTCCACACTCCGAACACGTACTCCTTGCAGTATAGTCGATCTCCAGCAAATCCAAAAAAGAATACCAGGCATAACGCAGCTGGTTATACGATGGTATCTTTTCTTCCGCGGTATCCACATCGGACAGTCGACGAATCCATACTTGATGGTATGTTTGCAAAGTGCAACTAAAAAGAAATAACTGACATTAATAGGCAAATGTTATGAGAAGTCTAGATATGGTGACAACTGTCGAGGTTGTAATTGATGTGTATGATTGCTTTATGTTAGAATGTTGCAAATAAATGTTCATGAACAATTATCGAATGAGAATGATACAAAGTTTGTATAATTATCTGCCGAAGCCAGGGCCGCCCAGAGAATTCGTGTGGCCTGGGGCAAACCTTTTTTGGGGCCCCCATGACACATTATTCAAGCTAGACCCAAGTCAGTCATCCAACTGGACCTTAGGTAGACTACGAGTGGAGCTACTGTAAGGGGCCCTCACTATTAAGGTGGGGCCCCGGGGCAATTTGCCCTGCCCTCCCACCTCGGCAGCGCTGGCCCAAGCTGCAAGTTGAGGCCGATAAGACAATCAGGTGCCTTTGACAATCTTTAATATTAATAGAAAGAAAATCATATTAAATGCGTGTTTTATTCTTTATTTAAAATAGATAAAAAAAACAACCGCACCCGAACAAATATACTGTACGTCAAAACATACAGTATTTTAAAGCATTTAGTTGCTGTTATAAGGACGATAGTGTCTTTGACATACCCATATGATTAGTCGTATACATATACTCTTACTCTGGCGTATGTAATGTAGTCGGACAAACACACGTACAGGAATTTCACCATAAAATGCATTAAGAGGAATTGTGGTGTTAGCAGCAATTGCTAGAATAACAATTGTCCGTGACTAATACTATTATCGTGTAGACAGTTAAGAAATTTATTTAATCTTATTCATTTTTTGACCGTTTTTCCACATTGCATCAATACTAACACGTAATAACGTGTGGGACTTTTTTAATATCGCGTGCTATGACGTCTATATCGGGCAACATTTTCTCTTTGGCTAGCCATATAATGCTTTAACCGTTGGCTGCAAGCCAGTCAGAAATCATGAATAAATCATTACAACGTCACTGTTTATATACATGTACAATCATGTAGCAAATATATTTGATACCTTCCAAATAAGAAATGATGCATGTAATCACGTAGAACCTCATGGGAAAGAAGATATCGTCCCATGTTCAAAACTCCAAACTGACTGCCATCAAAATTTTCACGCTCGTTACATGCGGGGTTAGAACATAATCTGTAAAAGACTTAAAAAGCATGTAAATGTAGTTAAATGGAGAGAAAAATTAAAGAATCGTAATGACTTGTTATGAAGTCCTTGGTTGCAGATAAATATTATAGCGTTACTAGAAATTACGTCGATTATGGTTGGGGACAATAATATAGGATTTGTATAACAACAGTACAGTACTCATGCTCACCATTACAAATAATTGTTTCATTAAATAGATATAACTTCACATCCTTTGCGCTTTCGTTCGACCATGGAGATGAACACGATGGACAAGGACTGCTCAAATTATTATCACCACCGAGCATAATTTGAAAGATGCCATTTTCATCAGTATGTAAATTCGATTTTAAATCCCGCGTCAAGCGAGGGTGACGGACTTAAGCTTTAAACTGAATTTTCTGCTCTGACAGGCATAAAGGGATAGAAGGGGAACGTCTAACAGGTCGATCAGAAAAAACTTGCGGTAAAAAAGGAAAGGATTCATCATCTTCATCAAGTTTTGTCTGCACAAATCCAACGTGGACACAATTGTGGGTGTCATACTTGCACGTGAGACATTTGAGTCCATGCTGATCCGATCCAACAAACGAATATTCGCCATGAACAAAAGAACATACAATATTCTTGCTGCATGGCAATTCAAATATGTTATCCGTATTCTGTGAAAAGTGGAACGTGATTATACGTCATAACATTTGCTTACACCAGGAAAACATTTACCAATTTACATTACCATTTTACACCTAGACTGTACTGTACTGTACTGTACTGTAAACAATTCACCAAGCTATATATGTGTAAGATTTTAAATGTCTAAACACGCACGCCTGCAGAGAATTGTAAATTCAGAAAATGTCACACTTACAAAATATTCATGATCATTATAACGAGCTTGACTGCCTAAAAATATAATGTGTAATTAAGTAGGGTCACATAATTTAAACTACACTGAGTTAAAACTTCATTAAAGGTTGCTATGATTTTGGTGTGACCCTTGAACGTTCTCCATTCTGAATATTTACAAGGGGGGATGCTCTTAAACGCGCAAATGATTACAAATTATTACGAATCATGGCGTGGAGCGGTTACAGTTTTTTTTCTGCGTTATACCAGAGTACATACGTATATTTACTTCTCCAGGAGAGTCAAATATCCCATGAAATATTCCATGGTGGTAGACAGAGTAAAATAGTAAATACACTACAGTAGTGGTTTTGATGTTATACTCCGGGTGTATATCCACACTGGGCAGGTAAGGTACTACATGTAATACACTACAGTAGTGGTTTTGATGTTATACTCCGGGTGTATATCCACACTGGGCAGGTAAGGTACTAGTTAGCCTGACAAAAGTGGTAATCAAACCCGCAACTCGATTCCCATCGTGGTCAGGCTAACTTTTCAACTTGTCTGAGTGCCCGGTGTGGATGCATGCTGGATGCACACTCAGAGTACTGTAACACCAAAACCATTATATTCATCTGAGTACATAACATTAAAACACACACAAAAAATAACACTATACACTAGATTGCATTGGGTTACAACATCATACCTACAACACTCTCTGGTAATGTGCCATCTACTGACTCTACTGAAGCAATAAACTTCTCCACTACAATGCAGTGGTTACATGGCTTGGACCTGCCATTCAACTCTAAAATAAAACAAAATGAAAATACTTTTGAGTATTTAGGTCAGCAGACTGGAAATAATATTTAGTTGAATATACTTCAAACACACATTAATAATTATAAGCTTATTGGCAAATCAATTCAACTTTGAAAGTGTATTTATTTTGTTTAAGGGGGTAAAAGGGCACCTTGACAAGTAAAATTGTCTGACATTAGAAAAAGTAAAATAATATTTAATTAACACAAGGGAGCGCATTGGCAAAAATAAAGGGTTAATATTTACTTTTGTTGTTGTTGACATGTTACTCTGAGACATCAAAAGTACAGTTATAATTAAAAAAGTGTTTTAATTTTAAATAATTTTAGGTTAAGTGATACATAAAAAATATATTTCAATAAATAAGATGTTTAACTTAAACATTTATAAAGTGACATTTATTTATAATATGTTTGAATTAATATACTACCTTCTACTGTTCCTTGTAAATAAACATTTAGAGACAGCAGATAATTGCAGCGATTTATGTCACAGGAACATCTGTACACCCAGCAGAGTGAATTGCCAAAGTTGTGTAGAGAACGCTCCACTAGGACAAAACTGTCTTCCTAGAGAGTAACAAAAACATAAATAATCTTTTAAAGAGACTTAATTGGTACAGTAGCATGTGTATTCTGAATGTGATTTCATCTCCATGATGTAGCATATTATTAATACAGTATGTAATTTCAGTGACAGTATATACATATTTAAATAGCAACTAATATATCTTCTGTAACCTTTAATAACCCCTTAACATCATCAAAATCTTGCACAGCAAAAGCCATGAAGGTCAATCCAACTGGAACTACTGCACTTGCTTTGCATACTTCCGAAAAATATGCATCATTGCTTGAAATAACACCAACACATTGATTGGATGTAGATGGCATATCTTCGTTCTTCAAAAAATGAATTATAGTAGTCTGTTACAAAACTAAAACTGTCTGTACCAGTGTTGGTAGTACCAATGTGAAAATGCTGTCAGTGCTGAGTGGTTATATTACTACCTTAATAAACAGAAACTCGACGTTTCGAGCGAAGGCCCTAGTGTTACAAAACTGTACTTTTCTATCATTTATGGACTATTAACGATGAAATATATATATTATATTTGTTAATAACAATCACAAAGCTAATCCATAATTATATTAGTTGGTAACATACGCAGAAAACCACCAAAAGAAAAACACAGGTGCCCTAGAGTGTACTAGTCTGGCAATAACTGATACTGTATGGCTGTAAATGCCAAGAGGAATTTAAAACACAACAAATTGGACCATGAAGTTGTTCCTATATGCTATCATTTCAAGTCAATATATTATCATAATAATGTTATAACACCATCGATCACTTTATAATTTATAAGCAATGAAATAATTATTTAATACATCTCATTTTAGTTTCCTCTGTTTACTTCTGTTTTAATAATTAATTACAATTTTGCATGACAAAAAAGGTTTATTATGGAAATTGGCAACACTTTTGCCATGGCTAGCTGCTGTAGGAAGGCTACACGTTCCCAGCACCGGTACCAGTACATCTTTTGGCAATACCGGTACTGTATATTTTGTTATGGAATAAATTTTTATTTACTTCAAATAATTATGCCAGATATTAGCATATTAATTAACCTTATCTCTCCCCTCAATGAATAAAATCATCTTACACTGTGTGATGTTACTCTGAGTGTATATCCACACAGGGCAGGCTTGGAAAATATGCCTGGCCACGGTTGGATTCGAACCTATGACCTTTGGAATACTAGCCCAAATGTGGCCAGGCATATTTTTCAAGCCTGCCCGGGGGGATATACACTCAGAGTAACATCACACAGCATCTTATTCACTTGAGTACATTACACCAACACAACAAATATCATCTTACACTGTTAAGGCATAGTAAAATAATGGAGTAGGGCACACTACGACACTGCTGCATGATGGGTTAACCAGACATATTAATATAAGCCACTTTAAGGAGAATTTCAATATTTGTAGCAAAAGCCCTTCCTCTAAAGTTTGCAACCCCAGCTATGGTAGTCAATCAAGAAGAAGGGCCTTTGCTTGAAATGTCAAAACTCTCCTAACATGCGTATTAGATTATTTCCAGGTAATTGCATCCCTATACCTACACTGGCAGAGACAGTTCAATAACTAAACACACTCATGCCAGTTAGTATGATTAATTGATTGACTGCCAGCACCTCTCTCAGTAAGTAAAATTTCTGGAGCTATACTAGGCAGATTAAAATAATAAAGTACTGTACAGTAGGTCACACTGGGGCAAAATGCAAATGAATGGGTTGAGCATCAAATATATTTTACCATATCTAAGTCATCATCTTCACTAAAAACATTCCTTGCTCTTGAATCTAATAAGTACACAACAGAAATAATTAAGCTTTTCTGTGCATGTGTGTTGGTGTTAACTTACTGTATGTTGGTGATACCAACTCGAACCAACTTGACCTTGTAGCTCAGCTGGTAGAGCATTGGACTAGAATCCCAAAAGTCGTAGGTTCAATTCCCGCTGCTGTCAGGTAAACTTGTCCACACTCAGAGTACGACCACAAACAATAGAAATAAGCTTATAATGTACTAGTCAAATCCAAGGGTGCCCATCCCCCCCCCTGGCTTTTGACAATTTTCAAAAATATGCAACAAATTCCCAAGGGGGGGGACAAAAAACACATGAAAATGCCCCACAGCAGGGCACAAAATCAGTAGCAAACCTCTACCCTGGGGACAGATGGACTATCGAGTAGGTTATCCAATCACCTGAAAATAAAGAGAATACTTTCTTCGATGTTTCTAGCAAACGCTCTCCTGTTAATATATCAAGTACTGTGCATCATACTCTCAGACTAGTGTGTTTTGCTGTCATCAAGCTCTAGCGCATCTATTTTTAATGTTTGCAGCATGGTTCAAATCCATGCGTTTCTTAACAACAACTTGACTGGTTTATATTTAATTGTTCTGAAACTGGTATTGTTCTGTTTTATATTATTATCAAGTTATCTGTGATCTTAAAACCTCCACATCCTTAATTTCAAATGCCCCACCCCGGGCAAAGGTTTGAGTTCAAATGCCCAACCCACAAGACATGCTCTACAGGAAAATGCCCTGGGGTGGTCGCGGGGGGGATGCTTGGATTTGCCTGAATTGAATAAATATTATAGTTTTTTTTGCAAAATAAAATATATGGTTCAACTTATTTGTTGTAAAACTACAACATAAAGTACTCTACTTATCATAAAATAAAATATATAGTTCAACTTAAATAAAATATATGGTTCAACTTATTTGTTGTAAAACTACAACATAAAGTACTCTACTTATCATACTCCATTAACTTTACAACCATAATGAAATGGCTATACTGATATTAATAAGCTAATTTAAACATGTATCATGTGGTCACAGTTCTATGTCCAATAAAATATTTGCAACTTATTGTTAAATTTTATATTAATATTATATCATTTAAAACTTTAAAATTAATATTTTATAGAGTTTTATAAACTCACAGATTCAATACTCTTATATTAATATACTCTTATATTATTTAGATTCAATACTCTTATATATACTCTTCTGAGCTATTTTCGAGCTCGCTGAAATCCTTTGTAAACAATACGCTTTATAATGCCGGTTCGGTACATGGAGTGTCGTAAATATAACCTGGCGAAGTCTGTTTACGTAGATATAGGCTTATAGCCACTTCGTATTAACTGTGGTATTAAGTAACTACTCATAGTAGTCGTACGTTCATATTTGATAACGTACCTTCTATTCCTTCTATTAATTGCTGAGGCACTGTACTTCTACGAAATGAGCTCCTTCGAGTGCCACTCTTAGTTTTTGGTAAACTCGCAAGGTCATATCTACCTCCGCTGACAAATTTAACTTTAAATTTTTTGACCGGCTGGTTGGTTTGTTTGTTGGATATATGTATAGTATCCATTTTCTGGTATATATAACCACACTTGCGACCACCAAATTATTAGGGATTTCCGCTGACCACATGAAAAAAGAGACTCATTGATCTATAATAATAAACTGGATGAATAACAAAATGGAGGACTTCGGAATTTTGTAATCATTATTAAAACAATTATTAAATTATCCGAGAGAAACAATGGCTATAAAAAGATAAAAGAGCATAGAACTTTCTTTGAGAATGCTTGCTTAAATTACTGATATTTTTTTTCATTCGCGGTACCGCGAACCACAAGAAAAATCATGTTTTAATGCCTCAATAAATCAAGTTTTTATATGACCATGGTTATATATACCGAAAACCGGTATACATTCTATTTCTAGATTCTGTATTGGTATGTGCATACTAAATTAAACCCTCATCCTCACCTAGATATATATCTCTAATCAAGTATTTATATGACCATGGTTATATATACCGAAAACCGGTGTACTTTCTATTTCTAGAATCTGTAGTGGTATGCCCATACTAAACTACACCCTCACCCTCACCTAGATATTTGTCTCTAATCAAGTTTTTATATGACCATGGTCATACATACCGAAAACCGGTATACTTTCTATTTCTAGATTCTGTACTGGTATCTCCATACTAAACTACACCCTCATGCTCACCTAGATATTTGTCTCTAATCAAGTATTTATATGAACATGGTTATATATACCGAAAACCGGTATACTTTCTATTTCTAGATTCTGTACTGGTATCTCCATACTAAACTACACCCTCATGCTCACCTAGATATTTGTCTCTAATCAAGTATTTATATGACCATGGTTACATATATATATCGAAAATCGGTATACTTTCTATTTCTAGATTCTGTAGTGGTATGTCCAATACTAAACTACACCCTCGTGCTCACTTAGATATATATCTCTAATCAGGTTTTTGTATGACCATGGCTATATATACCGAAAACCGGTATACTTTCTATTTCTAGATTCTGTAGTGGTATGCCCATACTAAACTACACCCTCATCCTCACCTAGATATTTGTCTCTAATCAAGTTTTTATATGACCATGATTATACATACCGAAAACCGGTATACTTTCTATTTCTAGATTCTGTAGTGGTATCCCCATACTAAACTACACCCTCATCCTCACCTAGATATTTGTCTCTAATCAAGTTTTTATATGACCATGGTCATACATACCGAAAACCGGTATACTTTCTATTTCTAGATTCTGTAGTGTATATACTAAACTACACCCTCATCCTCACCTAGATATTTGTCCCTACTCAAGTATTTATATGAGCATGGTTATATATACCGAAAACCGGTATACTTTCTATTTCTAGATTCTGTAGTGTATATACTAAACTACACCCTCACCCTCACCTAGATATTTGTCTCTAATCAAGTATTTATATGACCATGGTTATACATACCGTAAACCGGTATACTTTCTATTTCTAAATTCTGTAGTGGTATGCCCATACTAAACTACACCCTCATCCTCACCTAGATATTTGTCTCTAATCAAGTTTTTATATGACCATGGTTATATATACCGAAAACCGGTATACTTTCTATTTCTAGATTCTGCAGTGGTATGCCCATACTAAACTACACCCTCATGCTCACCTAGATATATGTCTCTAATCGACTATTTACATGCTCATGGTTATATATACCAAAAATCGGTATACTTTCTATTTCTAGATTCTGTAGTGGTGTATACTAAACTACACCCTCATCCTCACTTAGATATTTGTCTCTAATCAAGTATTTATATGACCATGGTTATAGATACCGAAAACCGGTATACTTTCTATTTCTAGATTCTGTAGTGGTATGCCCATACTAAACTACACCCTCATGCTCACCGAGATATTCGTCCCTAATCAAGTTTTTATATGACCATGGTTATACATACCAAAAA